CCTGCAGCATGCAGTACAGAATTAGCCTATGTGAGACTTCTTTCACCTGTGCTCATATAAACGTGGAGGTAAGCAGTGAATCTGTGGGCTGCGCTGTGCATATCACAGGCAGGTTATTTTCTGGTTTGGGTTGGGTTTGAGCTAAGAGAAGTGGTGCTGTGAAATAGAGCCACTTGCCAGACTGACTCCAAGACTTTGCAGGATGATCTAGGAGACAACTTTCAGTCTCAAGTGTCTTGCAACCAGGTGATGATGAGGACAGCTCTAACTGCTTGAAATGTGCATATGAGTGGAGAAATAGTAAAAAAGAAAAAACTTTTGTTCCTTCTCATTCTCTAGAATTAGCTTTTCAGTCCAGTTAGGAGACCCAACTTCCCCACTTTGATGGCACCAACAGCTCTGTCACATCTATCCTAGCATACTCACTTGCTATCCTCTTCCTATATTTTTGCACAGTCAGCAATTAAACCCTTCTCACCAGGACACAGGTCCTGGTTGAAGTCAGAGTGGCTGGAGATGGTGTAGAAACGGGTTCACACTGTCTAATTTCAGGCACTGAACTCAATGAAGTCTCCTCTTCAACCTCCTTCATGCCAAAGTTGAAGGTAGAAATGTGTGAGTCTCCTCTCAGCCCTTAATCCTCCTGACCCTGTAGTGTGTCATTCATCTAGTGGACAGGGTCTTAAATTCACCTCAAATAAATCTTAATTATTTACATCAACTTTCACAGTTCTTTTTGGACAGACTGTGAGAGGACCATCTCATTGCAGTCACCATCTCTCTCAGAATTTTTGTCTATATCTTCACGTTTTGCTGAGGTGTGGAAAAGAAATTTTCCTTTGAAATCACTAAACGTTTCACTGGCAGTAAGAGCCAGCCACATCTCCAGTCAACATTTCATGTCCTTGATTTCTGATAAGGGAACAGTTTTGTAATGAGCAATCAGAAATGGTATTGTTAAAGGTGTAGAGGTGGTACCAGCACACATCTTACTCTTAGAGGAGGTTCCCTAACCGAAGACGAACCATGAAGGCTGGTTGATGTTTTACTGTGTGGGATTCGTGTTAGATTTCTGCTACTGGGTGGAATAAAGACAACATGAGAACTAGAATAGAGGTCATTTCAGACCCTTGCTTGGTGATTTTATGTGACATTTATTGTAAAACTTGTGATATTGCTGTATACAAGGAGAAGAAATTGTGTGTGTTAATGCTCCTCTTCTGTCCCCTCTAATATACAAATGGGGAGTGAGGCAGAAACAGGGGTAGGAGAGGGTCATCTCTGGAGGGGTCTCAGACATCCAGCTTCTGATGCAAAGATTTTATTGCTGGTAAAGTACAGATACTGCCAGAAGTTGTCACCATCCAGATAAAATGTTTTTTCCCCCCTTTTCTCTACTGGCAGCTGCATATAGCATCTCCCCATTGGTAGAATAAATCTGATTAAAAAATGTAGTTGTAAGCAGCAACGATTTTATCCCAGTGGAAAGATCTTATCCAACAGAAAAAATGTTGTGCCTAGGCATAATTTTTCAGATATGATGAATAACAGCATAGTATGACCCTCAGTCATAAGAATTTAGTTTTAAAAGAACTACTGAGCATATCAGATATACTCAACTTATTTTCTCCTATCGTTTTTTTCACAGGCAGAGTTTGGTTTATAGATACATCTTGACAAAAATCTGCCACAGGCAAATTTCAACAAAAGAAAAACTTCAAACGCATCCAATTAACAATTTATGAAAGGAAATCCAACAGAAAATTACATAGAGATTCACAGGGCATAAAATTTGGCACTACATCAAATTTAATGTGGAAATGCCTGTATAGGGAGTTATGGCCCTTTGCAGGGCATTGTCTGTGGAGGATCAGTGAGTGCCCTCCATCATGTTTTCTTGCTATAAATAAAATATTTTGTCAGACGTGGCAATGAGCACAACTCCAAAGGGAACAAAAAGCAGTGATAAACCCAGCTATATGCAGTTTTCAGTCAGAAGTATTAAAAGTCATTAGGTTTCTTCACACTTTCAAACCCAGGATTTGTTCGCTTTATCACAGAAATGAGGGGCACTGTGCCATCAACAAACAAAATCACTTTTAATTTGCTAGCACAGCCAGCTGCCATACCTATCCTGACAGCAGGTCATGCTGACTATATGGAAGTTTACTATAGAGACATTTTTATGTCTGAAATGGAATTTAAACCCCTCTGCATCCCGTTGTTTCCTGATTTACTCACTCATTCAGCAGCCGCGGTTGGGTTTTCTCAGAAGATGTTAAGGACACAAACTCATGTAATTGCCTTCAGCATCTCTAAAATTAACTTAAACCACTGTTTTGTTTAGAGAAAAACATCTGTCTGGACCATTATCTATTTAAACACATGAATAGCCAGCTTTTGTAAGAGATGACTGAGAAGCATCTCTTGCACTGTCTGGATTATTTTGGTCGAGAGGAGCGTGTTATTTACAGATACCAGGACTCTAAACTGGGGATGACAAATAGAGTTGACACAGGCCAAGATTAAGCATATAAAACTGTGTTATTACATGGACTAATATAATTTGAAGAGTTGGTTGCTGTACTGCTGGCTCTCCTGTGAATCCTGTGCACCCACATCAGAACAGAACAGGAAAACGTTTGATAACTTTCAAATTTGCTGTCTTCCACTGAAATGCATATCTGTGTAGGAAAGCAGGGCTTAAAGTGTCCATTCATGTGCATTTAGGGCCACGGTGCCCTTGCTGTTGCCGTAGTACAAGAATTTCATTAGATCACTGTTTTCCTTTGTCTACAGAGGGCAGACTCTCGGGCTCTTCCAGTCTGCTTGGCGTTGGGCACTATAACTGCCCCTGCGTGTGCTAGTTAGACCACTGGTAAAGATGAGAGTACACCTCTGTCACCATAAATAAAGCATTAGAATATCCCTGGGGTTATTTTTTTTTCCTTGAGTCCAATAATATATGCTTTTGGCAGTGAAACACTCTACAAGATAACTTTTGTGTCCAAAGCATGTAGTAATTAGTGAATAAAACACCCCCAGAGTATCTTAATCCTATTAAAATGTGTCTTTTAAAGACTAAATGAATTTTTAACCTAATTTAAAAGGATGTTTTCCTCCCTGTAACACACCCATTCTCTGTAGATAACAGATCCCAGGGAAGCAGAAGGTGAAAAAATGTAAGACATTAACACCAAAGATTTTAATCTACTGTTTATGTTTTTGAAAAGTACTTGACTGTCTACTGCTGATATTTCTGTATGCCTCTACTGCCATCTCCCCACTTTCTTCGTCACAATGTATAATTTTCGTTGTCTGCAACTAGATGATGGCTATAATAATATATGAATTAATTTCATAAGACAAAGTCTAGATTTAGGCAACTATTATTTAACTAAATTTATTAATTTCTAAATGCAGAAATTATATGATTTTTAAAGAAATAAAGAAGAGTTAGAATTAAATAAGCGTTTTCAGATGCCTGATATTCTTCAAACTGTAGACAGCTAGTGTGTCTGAATGTGACTGTAAGAGTTAAATATTACACATTCCATGCCTCCTTCACAATTCATCCAAGGCAAATCTCAAAGAAAACAAACAAGGGTAAAGCATATAAGTGACCTCTTTGTTTTTATCTTATTCCCCTGCCTCCCTCATTCATGCTTGGTTAGGTTTCTTATTCTTGCTGTTGTGATTTGCCATTGTTTCCACTGCCACTTACAGTCTAGTATGCTCAGTTCTTCCAGTTCTACAGTCCTTCTGTGCCCTTCCAGTGAGTTGCCCGATGGCCTTGCCCCCTGTTCACTCTGTGAGAATTCAGGACATTTAGTATCTTTGAAAACCTAACCACAGCAAAACACCAAAGCCCTTCATTTCTCAGACACATCTCGTTGAAAAGCTCTGATGTTTGTGTTTCAGATAAGCCCAGATGTAGAGGAATTAACGTCCTCTGGAATTCTTGTTCTTGTTTTCTTCTCTAGCTTTCAGGGACTTTGGGGACATTGAGGTCAAAAATGTGATGTAGTGATTTCCATTTCAACTTCAGAGCATTGAAAGCACTTAGATTGCTGTTTTACTGTAACTTAAGATGAGGAGTCACAGCTGAGCCCAAGGCCAGTTCAAAGGACTATGTGCATTTTCTGAAGTTAAATACTCATACAGTTGTTGGGTAAGAGTCTTCAGCAGTGCCCATCAGTTTAGGACTTGAGCTCAGCTTCCTGGTTCCCCAAACCAACCTTGTGTCAGTTGGTTCTCCAAGTCCAGTCTAGACTGAACCCAACATCTCTGTAGACACAGGAGCTAAAGGCTGGGGGGAGAAGACCTCCTGCCTGCAGCATAGGTGCAGCTGGGTGATGAACAGACTCTGAATCTGGGTCTGAATACAACCACAGCTCCTAAAAGCAGTATAAATGTTTAGGTACCTAGAAAATGGGATCTGATGTGACAGCAAACTCAAGCCAGCCCCATGGAGTGAACACCATGAAACTGGGAGTGGCTCAAACTGATGACTATGCCGTCACATTCCTTGAAGGCTTTTACCCCTTTTTGGCTCTATTTAGTTTATCTAATAAATAGACAAGATAGCATCCTTTGTTATGTTGAATGTTGCAGGTGGGATGAGAAAGTCTTCAAGGCAAACACATAGGCTTTCTGTCTGTCTGAGAAAGGTATCTAATTCCGTAAGAATTTGCAGGAAAATCGACAAGGTAAACTTATCATAAACAGATGCACATAAACGATTTGTTCTGGTCAGAACTGTTGGAAAACCGAAGCTGGTTGCTGGAACTCAAATGCAGCTCAGGAGATCTGGCTTAAGGTCATAACACTTCCTTCGAGACTTGATATGTTTCCTCTCACATAACTTACTCGTCTTCTTCACCTTTTTATGCAATTTTAAACAATCTTTTATATTACTGTTTTCTTTTCCCGTAAGCAGTCGATGTAAAACTGAACAATATTTATACTTCCTTTGCTTTCTTTCAATTCTCCCATCCCAGCAGAGCCCTAGGACCCCCTTCTCTGACCTACCTGATGATGAGAAGATCTTTAACGGAGGAGATGGCACGTGGCAGAACCAGAGCCAGGATCAAGCCTTGCTCTCGGAAATTACAGAAGAGGATCTGGAGGCCATCCGCCAGCGGGAAGAGGCCATTCAACAGATTGAGGTCAGTAACCTTCTCCCACCATGGTCTTGGGCTGTGTGTTGCTCAACATGATGAAGGAAATGCTGATTTATATGGTTGCCTGTAC